TATTATGGCACTAAAACATATTTTCTAAATTACTTAATACAAGCACACTCTTGGCACAGCGGCCCAAAATGCAAAAATACAGAAAAAAATAAAGAAAAAAAAAACTACTCACTCACTCCGGGCCTTTCTTTTGGCAAATTCATCCACAATGTCCTTGGTGTTTAATTTAAGGCTTCGTGCATTCTCAATGGAAAGAATGGCTACTTTATATATATATATATATATATATATAAATGTGTAGAACTGTGTCATTTTTTAAAACTATGTGCAAATGCTGCATTGCCACAGCCAAATAAAATTATAATAATAAAAAAAAAAACCTGTGTGAGGTTGGTAGCTAGCTAGTTGAAAAGACTGTATCACAACTGTATCACATCTAGCTTCAGTGGCACCTGCACCATTTTAATTCTCTTTCTTTCATTTTAATTCTCTTTTATCGAAAGACTATTGTATATATATATATATTGAGGCCACAAATTAAGAATTCGTTCCCTCGTTTTAATTAAAAGGTCCCCCTCGGCGGGCCCCCAATCAACCCGGGCCCATATGCATACCTCGCATACCCAAACACTACGCCCCTGTCTCTGCCTATGAAGAGGTACATCACTACATTTTGGAAGTGAGTCAGAAAGGGCGATAGGTTCAGAGGTGTATGGCAAGCCTGACCCACTCTTTAGTGCATACTCCCCGAGGACTCACAATCAAGGTCACTACTACATCAGCACAGATTTTTAACTCACACACACACACACACACACACACACACACACACATTAAACAAACACAGTTCTCAATTCACGTCTCATCAGCTCTTCATCACATTGCTCTGCTGAAGTAGATAATGGGATAATAGCGCTTCGTCTTTTAGGAAGATAGAGAGCCTAAATAAAGTAGCTCCACTTTTCTGTGTGATTTCATATTAGCGCAGCCTTTTTTCTCAGAGCTCTCCCCATTATTACAGATAGACTCAGTGTTTTAGTAAATCAGTATATCAATGCCAGCGAACCATACTGTTTTTATAGTTCTGCATTTGCATGTATTCTTCTGACTGTTTATTGTCCTGCTTTCCACCTAGAGATTGAAATGATACAGTGAAACCCATGAAAGCCATCGGACAGTTGTGCTGCTTAATATTTTAGTGGAAACAGTGATTTTTTTCTCTCTCCAGGTTTCATTGATGAATAGAAAGTTCAAAAGGAGAGCATTTATGATTTGTAACATTATAAATATATTTACTGTAACTTTTGATCAATATTACACATGATTGTTGATTTAAAGTATATATTTCTTAATTTCTTAAAAAAATTACCCCAAAATGTTTTGCACATATAGTATTATTTTATCCAGTACACAGACTTGACTGGAGTTGTCATCTCTTAGGAAAATTTGAAACATATTTGTCAAAAGATCTATTGGTTTATTTATGGTTTTACTCTAAAACCTTTTAGAGAGGACAAACATCATTCATTCATTATTCAAAACAAAGTGTGCAAATTTGATTCATCAGTAATCAGCCTGCAGAATGTTTAGACCTGAAATACATTTGATCTCATCTGTGTAAGTGAGTCTGACCTTTGCACTGACCTTTGCACTGACTGTGCTCAATAAACTACAGCTACGTGACATTTTGGATTTTAAAATCTGTTAACAAAGCAAGGGAAGACAACCAGGCCTATTTCTTTGTTTGATTCTTTGGTTGAAATTAGCCTGAGTAGTGTGAAGGAGGGCCAGATTGTACAGGGTCTATGGACACAAAAGAGGGGTGGGACGGTGACCCCGATGCATCATTGACCCCAGCGGTGTCCTGGTGTCTTCTACTCGGTCACACAGGCACACATACTAGGAGAAGTGGGCCATGAGAAGGGTATCTGTCAGGGTCTTCTTGTTAGCAGGCTGGACAGCTTGCTCGGGCAGATGGCATGTTAATAGAGCGAGGAGATACGTCTGTGTGTGTGCTTGTGTTTGTTTATGTGTGTGTGTTTCCTTCGTTGATTTAAGACCCCGCTGATCGAAGAAGGCCATGCAGGGAAGGCCCAGAGGAAGAGGAGCAGGTGGGAAGGAAATGTGTGTGTGTGTGTGTGTGTGTGTGTATCTCTGTGGATTCTTGCCAGGGTGTTTTCCACAGACTTGAGTGATCATTAGTCAAGCCAGGGACCCGCAGAAGATGTTAACCCTTTATTGTGTTTAAAAAATAAAATAGATCTTATCTAAGCAATAATCATAAGGAATTTAACAGATTTGGTTCAATTATGGTTCCTTAACGGTTCCATTAACAGTTCTTTTAGTACTTTGTAGAAGAAATAATTTGAATTTTTTTTTATTATTATTATAGGCAGCATAAATACAATCTAATAACTAGCCTTGACATTATATTAAATGACAATACAATGTGGTAACATATTTAATTCATTTTTATAAAATACTATACAAACATGTCATTTTTATTTACACATTGTCCTGTTAATAACCTGTAAGTCACTATTGTGACTACGAGCTTTGTATTGTAGTATATGTGAATGATGTGTAACTTTTTATGTTGCCTGCACCCAGATACCCCTGCTTATTTGTGCTGTTTATTCAGCTGACTTCATCATCTAAATTAGTATTATTATAAATTATAAACATTGTGCAATAGTGTTTATGACTAAAACAAGAAAGCTTAAAAAAAAAACGTATGACTTGCAACTGCTGTTCTGCTTAGTATTGCTATACTTGCATGAATAACCATGTTTATAAAACTTGTTGAACAGAACATATTATTTATCGATCTTTTCCTTTCACTCAGAGATCTGCTGGTGAGTGCTTTTTCAGTGTTCCTACTAAATCTGGATTAATGAGTCGTGGATCTCACTCCAACTGCGGTCAAATGTCCGGCTCAGGCTGAGGGTTTTATTAGAGATCAGATTAGAAGTAGATAGTTGGCACACACAGTACAGTAGGCTAAAGTTTTAGCTATACAGAAACCATAATGCAAAGCTGTTGTTTGCATTGAGAAGATCATATTCAAATGATCTTATACCGTCTGCCTACGTCTGGTAAACCTCTGGGCAAAGCCTCTCGTGACTGGGTGTTACGTTGACAGTGACAGTGTTTAAATAATCTAAAGCTGATTCTGCACAGACCAGCCCATCAAAATCATATAAATCCTGACAGCTGAGTTTTGTTTGAGAAAATATTGATGAGACAAATGAGAAAGATACGGTGGCTAAGAGAGCTCAACGCACTGCAACTTAAGAAAACATGCAGATAGAAAAAGCACCAGCAAATTAAGAAAACATCTTCATCAGTTTGACAACACGCGCTGCCAATACTTCCAACACAACCAAACACAGAAACGCATGGCAAGTAGCACAGACCACAACGGAAATGTTCCAAGGGGACCCCAGCAACCCTTATGAAAATAAACCATGATTCCTTTTATTATAGTAAAAGTGTAGTAACCATTTTGCCATATAGCTTACTATTTGAATAACCACAGTTGTACAAGTACCATGGTTAAACTATGCTTAGTGTAGCAAAACCATGGTTCATTTGTGGTTACCATTGTTTAACTGTAATAACTTTTTTTTAAAATAGTAAAACCATGGTTAATTTTCATAAGGGAAGTTGTAAGTTAGCCATGCTTACATAATGTTTCACAGTTACAGTAATTGTGTATTTCGTCAGCTTATTTAGGCTAATAATTCCCCAAAAAGCTAAGCATGTCCCAGCCGAGTTCGTCACTTGTTGCTGTTCCCTTAAAGGGTTAGTTCACCCAAAAATGAAAATTATGTCATTAATTACTCACCCTCATGTCGTTCTAAACCCGTAAGACCTCCGTTCATCTTCGGAACACAAATTAAGATATTTTTGATGCATTCTGAGAGCTCTCTGACCCTTCATAGACAGCAATGTAATTACCACGATCAAGGTCCAGAGACGTAGCAAGGAGATCGGTAAAATAATCCATGTGACATCAGGGGTTCAACCATAATTATACGAAGCTACGAGAATACTTTTTGTATGCAAAGAAAACAAAAATAAAGACTTTATTCAACAATTCGTATCCTCCACGTCACCCTGGTGCCATTTTGGAGAATATCCACTGAACCTGTGCGATTTGGGGGAAAATATCAATTTCAATCATTCTAAATAATTCAATGTCAATAATTCTAATTTCATTAGAGTAAATGGTGAGTGTTGAAGGCTGTCAAGGGAGAAATAAACTTCTAGCCTACATAAGGTTTTATTTAGGGTATGTACCAGCAGGGATGACTGCTCATGCTAGCCAGCCAAACCTTGACCCCCTGAGTTTGAATATGTTGGGAATCTGGGCTATGTTTAAGAACGGTGGGAATGTTGGGTGGTATTTGAGGATGCCAGCTAATGCTGGGTTGATCAGGACTCTAGATAATGGTAGGTGGTATTTAAGGAAGCATGGAATGTTAGGTAGAATACTGGGAATGATCAGTGGGATGTAGCTAATGAATGTGCTGCAAGAATTTATGCAGGTTTAAGACGTTTTTTAAGCGTGTGAAGATGGTTCGTCACGATACGATATGATACGATATCGATTCTCATACCCAGTGATACGATATTTGCCGATACCTCAAAAATTGCCGATACCTCTTCAAATTTCATTATGTGAAAATGTGGACAGTGCCAAAATAAAGATGCCTATTTATACTACAGATATCGATATTTTACGCGTGGCATCGATGCATCGTATCGTCAGACATCGTATCGATGTATCGATCCATATCGATGAATCGTTACACCCCTAGTGTCTAGTAATGATATATAATTAAAATGTGTGATGTAAGTGTGCATACTAGTTATACAGTGAACTACAATATTTCATCTGTTTAATGCAACATTAATAGATAAATGTTTTAATGGAATTGAAGTTACATAACATATTCACTGTTTCACTCACATCTCTATCAACAAATTATTTTGGAAGAAAAGATTTTTAAGCATGTTAAGCAAATGATTTCATTGACCCTTGTTTATGTGTGCAGTGTCAGCTGTCCCAGGCGTTGAATGGAGTGTCTGACAAAGCCAAGGAGGCCAAGGAGTTCCTGGTGCAACTGAAGAACTTGCTTCAGCAGATACAGGTATGTAACACAACAAAGCCATCTGATGAAGAGTTATGTATTAGAAATGTGAAAATGATGTAAACTCATTAAATATTAAATGTTTAAATAGGTTGCCAGTTTTGAATGTGTTCCTTTCAGAATATTAAAAGACTCTCTATGTTTTGAACACTTGTGAATAAAAAATTGCCTTCACATCAGAGCAAAAATCATAACATAATCAAAACAGCCAAGCTAGCAGCACTCGAATATTAGCATCTCCTCTTTGATTTATGAGTGTCTCAATAAATATGCAAATTAATATTTAGTTAAAAATGAAGTGGGGTAATTATAACATTCAGCATGTATCCAGCAAACGTGCCATATGTCAGATGTTGACATGAATTTCGTTGCATATCAAAGGTTTTAATCATCTAAAGCCGGGGTTTTCAACTAGGGTTCCATCGACCCCTGGGGTCTTGCAAGGGGGTCGGAAGCAAATAAAACATATTGGAAGTATAAAAATATTGAATAAATGTCAAATTTGAAGCATTAATTATCTCCTTACCCTGCCCTAGTCTAGAGAAATGAAACTGATGCAGCTTAACATTCATTTGTATTGAATGTTGATCAAAGCAAATTTTTTTGCATACAATTCATACATGCACATGATTGTCATGAGTTTTGAATTGTATTCTGCCTGGAGACCACTGGATTATGAGCTCTGAGCTATTTTTACTCCAGTGAAGAGTTTATGCCCTTTCATACTGCCCAGCAGGCAGAGGGAGAGAGAAAGAGATTGTCTATGAGCGCCTTTGTAAGCAGACTTTACGCTGAAGTGCTATCAGTGATTTTCAGTGCAATGTGACATACTTGCTCACAGAGAGACAAATCCTGCAGAAGGAGTACAGTCTGGTTTCAGGCCTTGCCTCTTATTTTAAAAGGTACCAGTCACATATAGGCCTACTCTTAGTTGCGGGAACGTATTTTGAGTTTCAGCATGTATCCAGCAAACGTGCCGTATGTCAGATGTTGACATGAATTTTGTTAGCATGTTTATGCGTTGCATATCAAAGATTTTAATCATCTAAAGCCGGGGTTTTCAACTAGGGTTCCATCGACCCCTGGGGCAAATAAAACATATTGGAAGTATAAAAATATTGAATAAATGTCAAATTTGAAGCATTAATTTGAAGCATTAGCAGAAAAGACCTTATTTATTTGGGTTACAACGGCTATAGCCTATCCATCGTATTCATTTTGTCAATGCAAGGTAGATGTTTAATATATGCGAATTTGCCATTGTACTATTTTATGGCCTCATATGAAACGTCTTCTCTTCATAATCGTTGTGTAGTAGATGAAATGACTCAGCCGCAGTGTCAGTGTGTGGGTGTAGATCTCACATCTGAGTCACAACCGTACTCAAAGTGAATGAACGATTAATTGCATTCCAAACTCCTACACCACAGACAACTGATCATTGCCAGCTGTAGTGTTTCATTTCTGTGCCACTATGGACACCAAACAGAATAGCAAAATATATATATTTCATATCCCCACCCCCACTCCCCATCTTGCACAAACAGGGAGTCCAGCACCAAACTTCACTGGTTGAGCCTAAGACTGGTTTGCATTGTCCAATTTGTCTGATGCTTATAAAAGCATCCTCACCATTGATGCATTGATGGACTTTGTGAAGTAGCTGTGTATTCTAAAAAAAAAAAAAAACCATAGCAAAATATAACCTGCCCATATTTCATGGAACTATTGTTGATATGATTTTATTTGAAAAGTGATGTGTAGAGACAGCTCTAATCCTGTGTCTTCATTGGACATTAGTAGCATGTCTCTGTAGTATTTTATTTTATTGTATTTTATTGTTTTGTTTTGTTTTGTTTAAGCCACATTGTGGATCAAATCTTTGGTCTATTTGTTTAAGCATCATGACCAGTTTGAACAAAACAAAACAAAACAAAACAAAACAAAACAAAACAAAACAAAACAAAACAAAACAAAACAAAACACTCAATTATGTGGGTTTGGGGCCAGATTATCTGTTTCATCAACCAATGGCAGGGTGTATTTGGGAAATTTAATTTGTTTGAAAACATCTGAGACCATATATTAAAATGAAGCTGTAATAATGTCATATTGTAACTATATTTCCACAGTTTTAAATTATGGCTTCCCACATTTGCATACAAACACCATTTAGTATTCAGCAGTTTAAAATATAGAAGTTTACAAATGTGAAAATGTTAGCCAATCATAAAATGGGTCATTTTAATATATAAGTCTGAAAGGTACAATAGCGTTTTTAATTCTTAGGGCTCAGACAGATGGTGAAAAAGTACAACAACTAACTTTAGCAGACTTCTTCAGGAGGGAGGTTAAAATAGTACAAAAGTTCCTTATTCAGGACATCAAAAACAAAATCATGGAGACATATTGTATTGTATATACTGTTTTGTGGTGCAAATTCTTGAGGCTCACTCTCATTATGTGTATACTGTGTGTGTGTGTGTAACAGGAGAATGGGGTTGAATTTGAGGCATGTCTGGTCGCTCAGTGTGACTCTCTGATTGAAGCGCTCACTCGGCAGAAGGCCAAACTGCTCACCAAGGTCACAAAGGAGAAAGAGAGTAAGCTAAAGGTAGGTCAACACACACACACAACATGCACATCTCTTTTCACTCATTCCTAGTCTCAACACCTCTTGACAGGGGTCCACACACCTAAAATTAGGAGTAGTAAATTACATTTGCTAGTGGTTGTAGTTGTAATTTTAGAATCAGCCTTTAAGGGTAGAATGGAAAAGTATACATATATTTTATATACATATATTTTTTGAAAACCATTTAAGAGTTGTTCAACTATAACTATACATTTTGCAGCAGTGAGATTATTTCCTATGATATAATTCCTGGCTTCACCACACAGATGGGACAGAGAGAGAAAGTGTTTCTGCAATACACCGCACTGTTAGTGTGGCCTCCCCTGACTTTATGGAAAGCAGATTGAGTTTTTGTGTTATTTGTGCAACTCCATATGGTCAGAATAAAGTGAGATCAGTGAGTTTCTTTAATCTGGCTGTATGTAAGGAATAAAATGTATTTACTCAGTATATGATCAAAATATTTGCACTAGTAGCAAATATTAATATATTTTTTTATATATATTTTTTTCATTTAATTGTAAAATTTAAGTAAATTAATTTTAATTATTTATTTAGTTTAATTGTTTAGTTTATTTTTTCACATTTATTATTATTATTATTATTTAAATGTATTATTACTTTTTTTTTTTTGAAGATAAAAGATACATTTGCTACGTGTACTGCGTTAGGCTAACCGAGACTTGTCATTTGCACTTATATATTGTTGCTCTTTTGTTAGTTTTGACTGCTTTTATTGTCCTCATTTGTAAGTCGCTTTGGATAAAAGCGTCTGCTAAATGACTAAATGTAAATTTAAAGCACTTGGCTAAAGAGGGATTTTTAAATTAGCATGATGCTTCTAGTGCCATTTTCATCAGCTCTGCTTGTATTGAGGACCTCATGATATAAAAAGCCAATTTTCTGTTCTCTAAGATAATTTGTGGCTAATAGTGTAAATTCCTCCATCTTCCGGGGTCTGTGTGCCCTGCTCAGATAATCAAATGAAGTGTTTTTGTTTGCAGTGACAGGAGACGTCATTTTCTACTCTAATTCATTTCTTCCACGCCAGTAGTCTGACAACAGAGCTTTACACATGCCCTCTTTCACCACACTGAACACAGGATGAAGGGGGTTGGGGTGTGAAAGTAAACCCGCTCAGTCCTATGCAGTTATTACAGTATATCAAGGAATTAATCCATAGGTTGTTCTATAGATTACAGTGATGCAAGTTTATATTGTGCATTAGGAAGATTATCTACAGTTTATATATCACAACTTATGGTTGTAAAATAAAACATCAGCCGACAGGAAAGCAGCAAAATTTAGGAAACCGTGGTACATGTATGGCTCTGTGCACAATAAACCAACCAACATAAATTCCTTTGCTTCATTTGATACAGATTAGAGACAGAAGGCTTTCTAGTAATTTTAATCAGGATAAGGCTGGCAGACGAAAAAAAAAAAAGGAAATGAAAAGTTAAGGTCTTGCTTTTTTCATATTTAAATATTCATAACCTCACAATATGAATGTCTTTAAGCACTATTCATTTTTTTTGATGATGGCACATTAAACACATTGAACAGGGCGTTAATCTTCCTCCTTTTTGTTTTGTTTAAATATTCATTCATTTCTAACTTAAAGGGTTAATGTTGGTTCTGTCAGTTATAATTATACAGTCATTCATCTCATTCCACAGAGCGCTTGACAAGTGCATCATTAAATAATTATGCATTATAATTAATGCAGGAATAAATAAAGAGTGACTGATTTGATCAGCACATTGTCTTCACAATTAGACATGGATAGCAAAATGAAATCAGCTCTTTGTATTTCAAAAACAAATATTAATAGAATATATTCAGGATCATTCATAGCTTATTATTTCTTAGTAAGCTTAACATTTAATACTCTACTTAAAGGGATAGTTCACAAAAAAAAATGTCATCATTTACTCACCCTCGTGTAATTTCAAACCCATGAAGATACTTTTTATGACACCTGAGAGATTTCTGTCTCTCCACTGAAAGTCCATTCTACCAAAACTTTGATGCTTCAAAAAGTTCATAAAGACGTTGTAAAATAATTCCATATTCCATATTCCATCAAGCTGTTAATTCCAAGTTTTCTGAAGAGACACAATCACTTTGTAGAGCACGTTATGTGTAAAGTGAACCATGACGTGACAATACAAAATTAATTTATTCATTAAGTCATTCATTCATCACCCATCTTTCCATTGAAGTACAGTATATAGTCTCTGATGTTATTATGCAACTAAATCAGTTATGGGTGAACAGGAACACACAGGATCATGGCAGGAACATTGTACTGATCCATCCAGGATTGAAACATTTGCTAATTGTGGGGAATATTTTAGTCTGTCACTTAGTGGGGTTTGCTTAGTTTGCAATAATTTGTGGATAGTTATGTCACACCCTTTCAAGTAACCTTGCATGTAACATGATAGTAACCATGTTTACCATATTATATAGTGATGAGAGGAGTTGAAAGATTTCTTTTATTACACTAGTCTCATATAACATAGTCTTGTGCCTGTATTAACATATAGGGGAGAGCAGGGTGAGTTGAGCCAGTTTTTACTTACGGTGTGTTTATAGTGAGCATGTGACAGTAATGGGCCCAACTTAAATATGTACAGACATTTCAGGATGTGGTGCATCCTTGGGAATAATCACTTTGGATCTAAAATAAACTGCCTTCAAAATATGGCTTTCAAAAAAAAAAAAAAAGTCTCTTGGCACAACTTGTCCCCAGTATGGGGTAAATTGAGCCTAGGGAGAGGGTAAGTTGAGCCACATGGAGTTAAACTGTGCCACAAAGGACAGAGATGTTTGGATAATAGAATGGATGGATGGACGACTTCTTGAAAGTTTTATTTGAAGATACAGTTCACAACCTTGAAGTGATTTTTTTTATTATTTTTTACAATTTTAGAACAAAATAAAGTTCAAACTAAAGAAAAGAAAAAAGAAAAAAAAAAA